TTAGACCCATCTGCACACAGGGATCTGAGAAATCTTCCAGGAATAGTGATGCCATTTCATTTCATACCTGTCCTCTAATCTGAAGCAGGTTTTCAGGAGCTACTTTGGCAATTCTTTGTTTTTCTTTTTTTAAATTCCCTGTTTCTGCATTTGGGGCCTGATTGATAATCTGCCAAAAATTTATCTGAAAGTCACAGCAACATTTTTGAGAGGGAAAAAAAAATTGGTTTAAAGTTCACAGTACCTTAATAGGAATGATCTCTATTTTGAAATGTTGCACTGAGGGACCTTTTTCAGTTTTAGAGGGACACTGAACTATCGACTAATGTCTGCTACGTGTCAGGAAACGCAGGATGCTTTGACCTGGAATCGAGTTTGCAAATATTATAGTAACACCTGACGCATACAGCTGGAGTCTGTTTAATGTTGAGTAATATGTTCCCTCCACTCTGAATGGGGGCACTGGACCAAACTCACAGAAGAGCGCAGAGATTTGTGAATCAATAAAATTGTATTTATTTATAAATCCACTATAAAGCTTTTCTGACTAGTCATTTTGTTTACATTTTTTAAATTGATAGGTTTAAGCAGAAAAGTTAAACATAAACTAAACGTAATGAATTTGCAGCAGAAAGTATTAAAGAGGACTGCATAAGTGATTCATTAGACAACAGTAGTGACAAGCTGTTGAAACTCTTTGGTTAGCAATACTTTTGTGGATAATTACTTAGTGTTTAAACGGAATAATAACTCAAGGGAGTGATTGAATGGCTGTGCATGTAAGATGGGGAAAAAAATGTTGGGAGCTGCTGATATGATGCATATAAAATGGCTCAATGACCAGTAATCCAAAGTCCTTATAGATAATTTCTTTAAACATTTACTCCATATTCATGATGTAATTGCCATATGAAGAATAACTCAAATTAAATACTGTTACCCAACTTTTTTGATGTTCTGTCCTCGATCATATATAAACACATAATATGGAGAAATATGAATAGCAAAATCAGGAAACACAATAATGCAAATTAACTAATGTATGAGGCACAAATGTATATTTGTAATCTATTAAACATATAATTAAAACAGATTTAAAGCACGGTTTCACCTTCGCTTAAGTAAATGCATCACAGCATATGCTATAGCATATACTTATAGCTATAATATTCGCACACATGAATATTACAGCTGAAAGCTGTAATTTTCTAAACCAAAAAAGTGTGGGCATAACAAAAGCAAACTGGTGTCCTCAAAGTTGTGAAAGGTTTCTGATTAAATGTTCAAATACATATTTACAGCTTTGAGTTGAGTAGCAGCAAGGAGCAGCTGTTTAAATAATACTGCCACCATCTTGTCACCTTTCGCCTACATTGCAGTTAAATTATGTGGAAACGAGACTTCTTTGCATATAAAATAAATAAAAAGGTAGATTTTTAAAGCGCTGTTGCACAGCAGTGTGACCCAGATACTTTCAAACGCCCCATCAGAAAATCCCGTCCCAGCAGTCTTACTGCTGAAATGAAATGAATGGTGTTTGTTTACCTCTGAGAAGTGCCATGGCGCAGACTCAACAATCCAGCGATGACCGGATCAAAGTTTTAGGCTGATATCTCGCTGCGTGGAGCATATAAAAGCCTCGGACCACTGTGACCTTTCCCCCAAATACTGCAGCCCGGTAACGTTTTACTCCTCCATGAAGATTCAACAAAATATCTACACATAAATATCTACACAACGCAATGTTACTATTTTTTTTACTGTTTATCTTATTGTTTTATTAAGTAATATATTAACGGATTATAATATACCCAATATCTGTCTTTGATTTTATTTCCAGGATTTTTAAATAAGCGAAAGTGCGCACGTTGAAGTGTGCGGCCGCTTGTTTGAAACGTCATCTTTCAGCGACGTGTGTGGGGGGGCTGTCACTCCAGGGGACGACATGTGAATTTTTGTTGTCCTGGACCCAAAACTGAGTTAAAGGAGGAAACAGAAACGTAATTAAAACATGTCTTTGGCTCTTTCGCGATGTCTTTGCAGGGTTTTATCGCGGCAGGCCATGCCGTCGAGGTGAGTGATTGATGTACGATGTGAACGAAGTGCGTTAGCTGCGTGGAGCTAATATAGCTAAGGTTATTCGGTGCTTTAATGGAGAAGAAGTGTGCTTATAGCGATTTTCAATAACAAGGGTGATGAGCAGAGCTGTTGTGACTACAGAGGGATGTAGTTGTTGAGAGTATGGTTTCATGCTGAGAAAGAGTACAGATGCGATGTTTGCTTTGAGCCTGTTGATGGAGAAGTATAGAGAAGGTCAGAAGGAGTTGAACTGTGCACTTGTGCATCTAGATAAAGCATATGATGGGGTGCCAAGAGAAGTATGAGGGTGGTGCAGGACATGCATGAGGACAGAGAAGCAGTGGTGAAGTGTGCGGTAGGAGTGACAGATGGGTTGGACCTGGATCAGCATCAGGGATCTGCTCTGTGCCCCTTCTTGTTTGCAATGAAGATGGACAGATTAGATCAGTGAGTAGTCTCTGTGGACCATAATATTTCCAGACGATATTGTGATCTGTACCAAAAGTAGAGAGCCTGGAGAGGTGAATGTATGCTTTGATAGATGAGAAATGAAAGTCAAAAGCAAGACAGAACACGTGAGAGGCAGACAGCTGTGCTCGTGATGCTGAAAGGAGCCAAAAATTGTGACGGTGGATGGTTAAATACCTGGGGTTAAACATCCAAAGCAAATGACAGTGCACAAAAGAGATAAAGAAGACAGTGCAGGCAGAGTGGCGATGAGCATCAGGGGTGATTTGTGACAGAAGTGAAAGGGAAAGTTTACAAGATGGTAGTTAGAGGGTGGCACCAATAAAAAGACAGGCGACTGAGCCGAAGGTGGCAGAGATGAAGATGTTAAGATTTTTACTGGGAGTAAAAGAAAAAAGTAGCACTCTTAAGACTGTCTTCTTCAAAGAATACACAAACTTGAGAGAAATGAGAACTTGAGAAATGACCTGTACTCTATTTTGCAGCTCTCTGTACGGAGAACATCACCATCTTGTACAGAGTCCTTGGTTTGCACCAGTGATGACCCTGAAGACATCTGCTCCACTGAGGTATGATTCAGGCTCAGGCTCACAAACCAAGTCATGACCGAGGTTTACCACAATTGTCATTTCATCAATATTTTAAATTGAACAACTTAGTCCACCAATGTTATGGTGGTTCGTGGTGCTAACAGTATTTCTCAGCAAGCTCTATCTTGTGGCTGAATATATTAACATAGAGGTTTGATCTGTGTTATTCAAGAGCTGAGCCAAAAAAGAAGAAGAAAGTGGACCCGAGAAGGGAACAGATGTTGAGAGAGCGTCTGAAAAAGAAGCTGAAGAAACTGGAGAAAGTTCCACCAGAGCTTATACCCATAGAGGACTTCATCACTCCAACCAAATGCTTGGATGAAACAAGGTGGAGCTCATTTCAGTCTATGTGTATAAATGTCGTTTGAAATAATGAGGTCAAATTTGTATTGAAACATTAATGTATAGTGCTCAGTGTGATAACACACATTCAAATTTCTTCTTGTCAGCAAATGAACTAAAGCTACTGGGCAGGTATGGATCATCATAAGCATGCAGAGGCATTTTTTAAGACCAATGGATGGGAAAAGAAATGTGTTTTTATTCCTAAATAAACAGGCAACAGATCAAGCAGCTCTATAAGTCCAAGGTGTAAAATTAATGTGTCGTGGCTCAGCCCACGGCGTCCTTTGAGAACGCTGTCCTCCACAGCCAATGAAGAAAATCTGAGCTGATGTCAACTCTGTTTTCCACATCAGAGTTAAGAACTATTTTAATATCATGTGTTAAAATCAGCTTTGTTGGATCACACAAACAAATGGAAAAAAAAGAAAGTCAAAAGCACTTATTGTGTGCTTTTTTTTGAATTTTTATTATTCATGACATCTCACTGGTCAAGAATGGATTTGACAATAATGCCCCAGGAGTGTTAACACAAACCTTATTTATGTCAAGATAATGTAAATACTACTATACTACAATTCTACAAGTCTCATTTAACCCATCAGACGCAGTTTTATCTACCCCGAAGCATTTTTCATCATTCGTACACACTCCAATAGGTGCATTAGGGGCAATTTGCCAAGAACATTTTGCTGGCAGGAGGAATCACAGACTTCTTTGCCTGCTTTGCTAGATGACCAGTTCGACCACCTCAGCCACAGCTCATTTTCGCAGAGAAATTACCTTTGCAAAAGGTGGCTGAAGTTCTGAGACGTGATTGTTATCTGATGTGTTGTTGGTTTTATCAGTCTTTTTGCAGTGAAGCTCTGGGACGTTAAAACAGCTTTGAAACTTTTAAATTGCTCATTTGAATACCTTTCTTGGATATAGGGCTTTTAAGTCCTTTAAATTGATGTTCATAATTCTCTGTCTAAGGGAACGCACTGCTCCAAGGCTGTCATTTGAAGAAAGTGAGGGTCGAGCCCTGCTGCTGAAGGAGTGGTGTCGATACAAACAGGTTACCACTTACCTATCGCACCTGCGTCACTAAAGCTTTTATGGAAAATGTTACATCTGACCCCGGCTCTACATCTCATGCACTTAGTGGGTTGTATCTGTCTGCTGTTCTTGCAGAAGCAGCACATGGCTGAAGTGGAAGCTGTTGAACTGGCTTTGGAAGCACAGAGGGAGGCACTGGAGGAGCTGAAGCTGGAGTCCGAGGAGCTGTACCGGGCAGCGCTGAAGCCTGACCCGCTTCTTATTCCCTTTGTTCACGAAGGTCCCGCATATACGCCAGCAATACCCAATTATGACGCCCCTGATGGGAAATACAACGATATCACTAAAGTTTACACGCAGTGATAAATGAGGAATAGCTGTGTGTAGTTTAGTGTGTCTGTTATTCACTAAGCAAAAATGCAGCTTTTAAGCACACTGTCTTTATTCCTTCATTGTCATTCATTGTGTGAGAGTTACAGTGAGTTTGTGTCACGTTAATATTTGTCTATAATAATGGAATAAATCTTTTTATTGATCCAGTGTTCAGAATCTTTTTGAACATGTCATGTTATAAGGCAGAAAACTGCTACACAACTCTGAATTCTGTCACCTCGATTTTTCAGTAGGATTAAACATCCCATATACCTACATCATTAACCTTTCTTAAAGTCAATTCATTTGCTGAGCAGCTGACAAATACAGATAGGCCTACAGGTACCATGCAAACACCTGGCTCTTCACTTTTTTCAAGGAGAATGAAGCAGATCACTGATTACCTGTACTGACTATATATTCTGTCAACATAAGGATAATATAGAGCTAATTTTCTCTGAGTGCAGTCAGTCTTTGTGCTTAAGTTTACACAAGCTTTGCAGAATTAGTACCTATGAGACACCAGCCTGTCTGGAAACGGATCATATTTACTGATAAAACAGCTAATCCTTATCGCTGAGCACTGGCTGCTGCCAGCATTGTTAGACATACTGTATATATATCATTTTACATACAGCAGTTCTCTGAATACAACTGATGACATCTCGTGATCATGAGAATGCCCAGGCTCTTAAACTGAAACTAAGCATGTTGTCAAAACTCGATGTTCAGGAGTCCTGAGGCTTCTCCTGGTTCAGTGGCACGTGCCAGTCTCTAGGAGGCTCCTGCCTCAGCTGCCACACTGGAATGAAGTTTCTTTGCTCTGCCACTCTGATTTTCTCACTTCTCCGCAACGCCTCCTGCAAGACAGACAGAGTGAGTGTATTTATACAGCCTGGAGCAGATCACAGAGGTCACCCGTTTAGGACTTTAAAATTTTAATTTCTTGCTGTTCCACCTTAGCCTCGGTGCCTCTGTGTTTCTCCCACTCTCTGCAGTTATGGTAGTCCTCTTTCCACTGCTGGCAGGATGGCACGGTACCGTAAGTGTAGTAGTGGTGAAACCAGTTTTTAAAACTTTTGCAGTGTCTAAACTCGCTCCAGTAGTCTTCACATGCCCGTGGTGGCTGTGGCGACAAAGCAAACAAAAATCAGAATAAAATTTTAAACTTCTGTTGGGATTCTGGTGACTGACATCAGACACTTTGTTGGGTACGCCTGTCTAACTACTTGTTATTAATAAAATAATCAGCCAATCAACTGGCAGCAACTGAAAAGGAGGAAATATACAGTGAGGGGCAGTTCTCTAAGCAAAAATACCTTGTTGACGTCAAAGGAGAATAGCCACACTGACTCGAACTGACAGGAAATCAACAGTGACTATCAAAAGTACCACCAAGATATGCAGGAGACCATCTCTAAATTCACGGCATGTCAAACCTTGAAGCAACAGAAGACCACACTGAGTGCCGCTCCCCAAGAACAGGAAACTGAGGCTACAGTTTGCACAGGTTCACCTATGCAGCGCAAAAGAGAACTGGAAAAACACTGCCTGATCTGATGAGTTCAAATTTCTACAGCAACATTTGGCTGCTATGGTGAGCAGTTTATTGATGTTCGTCTCACATCTCTGTCAGCAGCAACTGAGTGATGCTGTCGTGCCAAACTGGAAATCTCTAAAGAATGTTTTCAACACCTTGTTGAATCTGAGCCACGAAGTGTTAACGCAGGTCCGAAGGCAACGAGAGTCCAACCCAGTACAAGCATGACGTTCCCAATATAATGGCCGGTGAGTTTTAACCTGAGTCTCTGAAGTGTTCAACATTTAAACAGCGCCTCTCTGCGGTCGTATTAAGAATGGGCTGACCCTCAGTTTGGTCAGTGGCTCATTTGACTTTCCAACTACACACATGCTGTTTTTAAATTTGATCAGCAAGCCCAGATATTAGTGCATTTCGTGAATCAAAAAAATATACGTCGCCTCCTCGGATCTTCTTTGTCTGACTTTGCTAGATGGTACAGAAGGGTACATTTGCGGTTTAGCATCTAAAGCTAATCACCTTGCGACCTACGTCATCAGGATTTGACTTTGATTATTTTGAGTCTTCTCATAAACAAGGCAAATCAAATTAACTAAGGAAAAGTTATCATTAACGAAATTAATAACCTAATATCTGGTTTAATTACCCTCCATGCGATTTCTTCCACAGCCCTGTCCATCGCTAGCTGCGACAGCTTTAGCAACTGTACTTCTTCCGGTTTTATTTTTCACAACAAAAGCTCTTGGCACATTTCTGTATCACTTATACGAGGCCACAAAGCATCAAAACGAAAAAATGTGTGCATGGCTGAAGAACGTCATTGTGAATTCACAGTTTGTTTAAAGATATTCTGCTTTTACTGGAACTAAAAGTATATATTATTTGCAACAATATTTTTTCTGAAACGATAAAAATGTTGGTTTTCTCAAATCTGAATTTGTAGGTACTTTTGCTGATTGAGAGCTCAACCATTCATTATTTTACACATTTATGTAAACTCACCAATTCCAATAGTTTATCCAATGATCATCTTCTTCGAATATAAATACTCAACTCAGGTGATGTCACAGAAAGAGCATAATACCTCAAAAATAGGTCTGAGTGTAATTCATTTCAAAACAATTTTATTTGTTGATAAATAAAGCAAAAGAAAAAATTCCTAAAAGTCTGGAAAAAAACCCTCAAACATAAAAATTTTCTTAGTATAATCAAAACAAAAAGCTCCCATTTTACAGTAACACTGGGATTGTGGATAACAGCCATTTTAAAGTGGATTGTAAAAATAAAAAAAGAATTATGGAAAAGATGGGTCTGCGCAGAGTCAGAGGTCATTCAATCTGATATAAGAAAGATGTTTGCTGTCATTTTTTCATGTTCTTGATAAGATATTGGCAGAAAATCAGTCACTCTGAATTTGTGAATACCAAATTAGAGCAGACAGTATTTTAGGCTGCTCAGATTCTTTTGAGCAAAATATTACTGTCAGACTTTTAATTACACGCTATAATCAACAGCAAAACCTCCATTTAAAAAGGGGCAGAGGGGCAAAACCAACGCATCTGAAAACCAATATTTTACTTTGCTGCTGAAGGTGAAAAGAATAAGCTAGCTCTGTGCACATGAGTCAGACTCCTCGTTTGTAACTCTTCAAGGTTTTCGGCCCTTCTTGCGTAGTGACTGCCCTTGTCCAGAGAAGGCGATGAATCTGTTTATGGCATCATCCTGAGAAGATTCAGAAGAAAATTGAAAAATATGGCTTGAGAACTAAATGTAGGACTTTAAAAATAGCCAGGAAAGAGTACTGTTTGCATTACTTACATCATCCACAATTTTCCTGGGCAGAGGTCTGGAGTTTCGAATGAAGGTAATCCTGCCAATTTTGAAGTCATAGTTGGGAATCCCTCTGTGTGACGAAACATTAGACACACAACAGCTTGGAAAACCATTGTCTGCGTGGTGTGGCTGTGTGCTGTCACAGCTTTAAAAAAATATGTGGGACAACACCAATGTATAGTTACATCGCTATATTTTATACTTCGTTGGTGTTCAGTACATCTTTGTAGAGACAAAGACTCACCACAGATGTGCAACGCCGTGTGGACCATTCAGAAAGTTCAATAACCACTCCAATTTTTTTTTATTTTTTAAAAAAAGGTAAGCAAAGAATTTTCTGACAATTCTGTTATGGTTCAGGCTTTAGGCTTCAGGGTTAAGACCAGGGTACCCAGTTGCCTTAGAGCATAAATCCGGTATTCCTCTCTGTTTTTATGAAGCATAAAAAATACATAAACTGCTCAGAACTTTATTTAAATATATCACGTGACAAACTCATGTGCCTCAAGGTGTCACATTCTATGTCTCAACTCAAGTCTGAGATATCTAACATAGCCTAATAGATATAATAGCTCCTGCTTGGGGGCTTTCATATACTGAACAGCAGTTTGAGTTGACTGTCATCCCTCTCCTCATCAATTTGCAATACGCTGTTAAATAAAGGTGTAACATTCCCTGTAAAAATAGCTTGTCTGTTAGGCCACTTAACAGTTGAGTTATTTTTATGGGAATGTGTAAGAAACAACATCTTTTCACCTTTTAATGTCACTTGGGGCAAGGGGAGCAGGGCTGGGTTCAATCCCTTTAGTTTTACCATCCAAACGATTACCAGAACCGGTGAAAGCCTGAAAATAAAGCACAGATTAGAGATTAAATCAGATTATGTTATTCAAGTACTTTTAGTAGCAGTAAGTACACATTAACTTGAACTCACTCTGAAGCCTGTGTCCATGTCAGCGTAACTGCTGGGATCTGTTTCTTCCTCCTGTCAGAAAAACAGTTTTATTACACTGTTCAAAGGAGAAAACGTACAGTTACCACGATGGTTTGCTCCTTACTGTCGGTTCATCCTGGTGATTAGGCCGTCGTTCAGGCTCTTTGTAACCCAAGGGAGCATCAAAATCCACCTGAACAGCAAAGTAACAGCACGTGAGCGAATAAAGCAACAGAACAATTCACTGTGACTGTGGTGAAGTCCAGGATCTTACATTCATATCACACTCGATGATGGATACTGCTTTATCTGGTTTGGTCTCCATGACTCGCAGCTCATATATCTGAAACCCACAGATTACCAGATGGCATTTTTATGTTTAATCTTCCAGGAAACTCTCCAAGAACAACCCTTGGTCACATATAATCCCAACAATGACTTAAAGAAACTGATTCACCTTTTCGTTGTAGTTAATGGCTATGACATCACCAGTTGTCAAGCATGCAAAGTTTCTCAGTGCGTTCTCCAGTCTGTAATGAATGTTAACCACTTATGTTAAAACATGAAGTGTCAAAAAAATAAAAATTTAAAGTTGAAATAAACATTTCAGCCTGTACTCCTTACACTGCCTTGGGGTTTGTAATGTCCAGGAAGTCGGGGCTCTGAGGCTGGAACTTTGAGTAAGTGGCCACCATGAGGTTAACACTTTCCACTTGAACAAGACCGCCTTCCTCTAACAGGAGATTCTGCATCATCTGCAGTGAACAAAATACAGCAAATGTCACTCCAGCCTTATTTTTTTTTTTTCTATTTCCATCCATCTATCAGGTCATGGGGGAAAGAGTGCAAGGCGGGGTACACTCTAGACAGGTCACCATCACAGGGCTAAGACACAGAGACAGACAACCAGAATCACCAATTAACCTAACATGCAAATACTTTCACTGTGGAAGGAAGCTGGAGTATACCAACAAATTTGAATTTTTAAACCCATACTTCTAAAACATTGTTATCCACTTCCACACAAGAAGAATATGTAAGTGCTCCTCCACTGCTGACACGAGACACTCATTACTGTTTCTCACCCAGTGAGGCAGGTAACAGATTCCCTCGTCTGCCACAAACTCCAGGACACCACAGTGTGTCATTCTGTCTGAGTTCTTGTTGGTCAGCTTGAACAGCATTGGATAGGTAATGTTAAGCCTGCCTGAACAGAGGAATATAGAGCAATGCTAAAAACAGGATGTAAAAAGGACATTTAGTAAGAAGGTTTTGAATTAACATGCGCTTACTGAGCTGGTCGAGAGCAGAAGGTGGCATTATTACTGAAAAGAAAAGAAAAATAACAGTTATTTTAAGGAAAATATGTGTTTTCATAAAATAAATATAAAGAAATATGATATGTAACTTTCACCTTATACATACTAACATAAACTTGGACATTTTGAGGATATTTTTTTTACAGTTGTGTTTTCTAACAAGTACCACAAAGCAATAAATAGTTAAATAACTTCAGATATGTTTGCGGTACTGGATGTATGTTTGGACAAGGGAGCTGGTTACACCATGTGGATGTTGGCACAGATTACACCCACAATACAGTGGTGAATGCAGAAAATTAGCTACATGTAAATCTGCCATACATCACACCATTGCTCATCAAACTCTATGAACGACCTAAACTGATGTGATGAAGTAGAAGGCCTACCCTGAGGTCCTTCCCAATGACTAAGTTCCCCACCTTATCTCTAAATGAGAGCCTAGACACCCTACAAAGGAAACTCATTTCCCCCAGTCTCTGAAATGTAGAGGACTGATGATGCACCAATCTTCCAAAACACATTCCCTTTTTTGATATTTTAATATTGATGGTGGAGAGCACTGTCTAGCATACTGAACTAAAACAACATGTTCATAGTGACCTCTTGAGGATTAAGGATGGGAGTTTCATTTTCTCCCATCAGGATTAAAATGTTTGATCACAAGATAAAAGTGATCAGTCAGAGCAAATTGGTTTCTAGTGACCTTTCCCTCTAAAAAGCAACAGTGGACCCAAACTATGCCAACAAGCAAAACAGAATCACCAGATCCTGCATTTGCAAAGGTCAAAGATTAAGGTCTTCATTTAATTCTTCACCCATACATACTTTGATTTGAACGAGTGGTATGGGAGAAAATACTGTACTTCAATATCTTTTGTTCAGAAACCTTGAACTGAGTGACTGTCTGAACCAACATGACCATTCTTTTAATGAGACTCACTTTTGCCTCCTTTCTCAACATCGGAGCGGTCGTTGGGTCCAGCCAGCATGGACACCGAATAGCATCGGTACTGAGTGGAGAAGCGGTTCTGAAAGCCCCGGGCCAACTGGTGGTCAAACACATGGAAGGAAAACTGTGGAACAAACATCAGGATTGTCAGTCAAACTCAGGTCACGTGTATACTTCAGAGCAAATAGATAACAATTTAATTGTTCAGGACAGGTAATCTTTATGCTGTGCTGTAGTTCTGTTGCTAGCCGCTAGCTAACTAAAACTGGAGCAACTACGATTTGTTTTGATACAACGTCACCGGCGAGAAAAACCACAGTGCTCACCATGTTGACTGTTTCTGTTCCTCGCTGCTAAACGCCCGCTTAATGATGTTTGCTTCAGTTTTCTAATTTACAGAAAAATTTACAATTTCCAACGTTGTAAACAACTGA